TGTTAACGAGAATATATTTGGGAAATGAAAAACACTTAAGTGCTTTTGCCTCGTTACATTTGCTTAGCTAACATGGCAATCAGTGCATACAATATAATGATCATGATTGTTTGAGGTTGTGTATTTTTGGTCAATGAATGACCTAATAAAGTATAAATTGACACCAGATTGGTAGGATTACTGAAGAGAGGCATGTTTACTTTAATTGCCCCTAACATGGCCTCAAATTCTAAAATATTTAATTTTGACCCCTACAGAAAAGAACAGTAAATTCCTATGTCCAATTTGCAGGCAGTGCCAACTGTTTTTGTGCTGTTATTGCATTGTTGACATGACAGGTTCCAAGTTCATTGCGAGTAACTTGCAGGTTCTATCTGTGACACACAAATTGCTGCTGCCTCCCCCATGCGTGCTTGATGTTTCCTTCTTTATGATGCCGTCTTTGTGGCTCATGAGCTTTCAGTTCCCTCCCATTTCCTCCCATTGAGCCCTTTTATCTGTGTTAATGCCCCAACTTAACTCCCAAAGCCCATGCCTGGAAATTCCCATGTCTTTGTGCCCTACACCTTCCCCAAGTACCAGCCAGTGTTGCTATGATCTGTTTAAACTTCCCATCCTCATTCCAGACCTTGTGCAGAGTGACATATCCACCTCCTCAAGTATTCAGTGCTACCTGCTGTGACAACAGCAGGTGGCTGCCTCTTCCTCCTGCATTAAAATGCTTTCCCAGGCCATAGAGACTAGCAGCTTGTTACTGAGCAAAGAAGACCCTGTGTGTAAGAAAGCAATGTGCCTAATACAGAGGCTTTCAGTGCTAAAGTCAATGAGTGTGCACTAAGAATACAATGTGAAGCAGACACAAACAAATACAGGGAATGCTGGAGGAAGTCAGCAGGTCTGGCAGCATCTGTGGAGAGAAAACGGAGTTAATGTCTCAAGTCCAGACTGACTCCTCTTCAGAACTGTTCAGTTATCCAGAAGCCAATCAAATAGTTGTTAGGTTGGTGGCCTTTTGTGTCGGGAACCTGTTGCCAATAGAATCTGACTTTGTAAGCACCACACATAATGTGTTTCAGTAACTTGATTTATAAAAGTACAGTAATTCCTTTGTTGTTTAATTGATGTTTTCCCAGTTTAGTTCGCAATCAAAAATGAAGCAAAATGAAAGGATTTCCCACACCACCTTCTGACTGTATGCTGGCAGTTAGGTACAACTCCAAGGTTTTGGAGTAGATTTGTAGCTCGGGTTGTGGGTGTTGAGGTTCGTCGGCTCGCCGAGCCGGTTTCTTGTTTCGCAGATGTTTCGTTACCATGCTGGGTAACCTCCTCAGTGCAGCCTCCGATGAAGCGTCAGTGTACTTTTACACCTGGTTTTTAGACTCTGGAGTCCGTTGAGATGGATTGCCTCACCTCCGGTTTTCCTTTGTAGTGGAATGTATATGGGGTCGAGGTCAATGTGCTTATTAATAGCATGCTTCGTGGAATGTCAGGCTTCTGGGAATTCTCGTGCCTGTCTCCACCTGGCTTGTCCCAGGATTTTGGTGTTGTCCCAGTCGAAATAGTGGTTCTCCTTGTCCATGTGGATTGAAATGAGTGAGTATTGGTCGTGTCTTTTTGTAGCCAGTTGGTGTTCATGTACTCTTGTTGTTAGTTTCCTTCCTGTTTGTCCGATGTAGTGTTTCTCACAGTCTCTGCAGGGGATCTTGTAAATGACATTGGTCCTGTCCATGGCAGGGAGTGGGTCTTTAGTTCGGGTGAGCAGCTGTCGTAGGGTTGACGTGGGCTTGTGTGCCACTCTGATGCCCAGCGGTCGTAGGAGTCTTGTGGTGAGTTCCGATGTGTTCCTGATGTAGGGTAATGTGATGAGTGTGTCGGGGCGTGTAGTATCTTCCTGATGTTGTTTGTGTAGGCATCTTCTGACCCAGTTTTTTGGATATCTATTATCCTTGAAAACCTGGAAGAGGTATTCTTCTTGCTCTTGGCATAGTACAGACTGTCCCGACACCGCAACTAGGCAACAAAATCCTCTACATGCTAAAAAGACTTAAACAAACAGGACAGATCAACAAGGCAGACTTCTTAAGAATGAAACCCGAAGGAACCAACACACCCCGATTCTACGGCCTCCCTAAAGTGCACAAGGCAGAAGTACTCCTTAGACCCATAGTCTCCCTACCACGCACTCCATCACACAGATTAGCCGAGGAACTACAAAGGAGACTCGGGCACCTAGTCAACAAGTCACCCCACTCTATCCACTCAGCCCAAGAATTCCTCAACTCCATCAAAGACATAAGGATAGACGACAAAGAGACCATGATATCATTTGATGTCACTGCCCTATTTACATCAATAGACATAACACTAGCAAGGGAAACAACGACAATGCTACTGGAACAAGAGCAAGACCCCAGTGAAACCATCTCCAAGGACAACTTCTTCCTCTGGGTGTAGTTCCGTGTTGCTGCAGTGTGTTGTTGCCCTGTTAAATAGTGTTCGTACGGAGCTTCGTTTGTGTGTGCTGGGACGGTTACTACTGAAGTTCAGTACCTGGTCTGTGTGTGTGGCTTTACGGTGTACTTTCGTTTGTAGTTCCCTATTTGTCTTGCGCTCTACCATGACGTCCAGGAATGGAAGCTGTTTGTTCTTCTCCTCCTCTCTGGCGAATTTTATTCCGGTGAGGGTGTTGTTTATAAGTTTGTGTGTCTCCTCTAATTTGGTCCATTTAATGATGACAAAGGTGTCGTCTACGTAGCGTATCCATAGTTTGGTTGGATTACTGGGAGGGCCGTCCCTTCTAGTCTTTGCATCAATGCTTCTGCTACGAGTCCGGAGATAGGCGATCCCATGGGTGTCCCGTTGATTTGCTCGTTATGTTTGGCCATTGAAAGTGAAGTGGGTGGTGAGGCATAGGTCCAATAGTTTGAGCATGTTGTCCTTGGAGATGGTTTCACTGGGGTCTTGCTCTTGTTCCAGTAGCATTGTCGTTGTTTCCCTTGCTAGTGTTATGTCTATTGATGTAAATAGGGCAGTGACATCAAATGATATCATGGTCTCTTCGTCGTCTATCCTTATGTCTTTGATGGAGTTGAGGAATTCTTGGGCTGAGTGGATAGAGTGGGGTGACTTGTTGACTAGGTGCCCGAGTCTCCTTTGTAGTTCCTCGGCTAATCTGTGTGATGGAGTGCGTGGTAGGGAGACTATGGGTCTAAGGAGTACTTCTGCCTTGTGCACTTTAGGGAGGCCGTAGAATCGGGGTGTGTTGGTTCCTTCGGGTTTCATTCTTAAGAAGTCTGCCTTGTTGATCAGTCCTGTTTGTTTAAGTCTTTTTAGCATGTAGAGGATTTTGTTGCCTAGTTGCGGTGTCGGGACAGTCTGTACTATGCCAAGAGCAAGAAGAATACCTCTTCCAGGTTTTCAAGGATAATAGATATCCAAAAAACTGGGTCAGAAGATGCCTACACAAACAACATCAGGAAGATACTACACGCCCCGACACACTCATCACATTACCCTACATCAGGAACACATCGGAACTCACCACAAGACTCCTACGACCGCTGGGCATCAGAGTGGCACACAAGCCCACGTCAACCCTACGACAGCTGCTCACCCGAACTAAAGACCCACTCCCTGCCATGGACAGGACCAATGTCATTTACAAGATCCCCTGCAAAGACTGTGAGAAACACTACATCGGACAAACAGGAAGGAAACTAACAACAAGAGTACACGAACACCAACCGGCTACAAAAAGACACGACCAATACTCACTCATTTCAATCCACATGGACAAGGAGAACCACCATTTCGACTGGGACAACACCAAAATCCTGGGACAAGCCAGGTGGAGACAGGCACGAGAATTCCTAGAAGCCTGACATTCCACGAAGCATGCTATTAATAAACACATTGAACTCGACCCCATATACATTCCACTACGAAGGAAAACCGGAAGTGAGGCAATCCATCTCAACGGACTCCAGAGTTTAAAAACCAGGCGGGAAAACATACCAACGCTTCATCGGAGGCTGCACTGAGGATGTTACCCAGCATGGTAACGAAACGTCTGCGAAACAGGAAACCAGCTTGGCGAGCCAGCCAACCTCAACAGTTAGGCACAACATTGTACTGTTGTTCTCACATTCCAATCACTTAATCTGAGCTGCCAACATCTTTTTTCTCCTAACACTCCATCCTCCCCCCGACTATTGTAAAAATGCTGCCCCCTGCACACTACATGTCAGCTCTGATGAAGAGTCATCTAGACTTGAAACGTTAGCTTGCTCTGTCTCCATGGATGCTGTGTGATCTGCTGTGATCTCCAGCGTGCTTTTGATTTTAGTACAGATTCCAGCATCTGCAGTAATATGCTCCAACAAAATAAAAAGATACAGTTGTCACAAATGCTTGGAAATAGATAGTTGCTGCTCAATAGTGAAATTCTGACATCACAAGAACCATTCTTAATGTTGAGAATCTGTTTTTTTATTCTCTCCATATTTTCCAAACTTTGCCGCCATTGCTGATGGCACATCAGGAGGGTAAAAGTATGTCCTATATTTTTTGTGTTCTGTGTGCACAACACAAAATAATTTTATTTAGGATTTCATAATTCTTAACTTCATTAGTTAATAAATGTTTGGATGTTTCCTTTATTGATCCAAAATAGAAGCATCCCATTTAACTGATGCCAGCCTTTGATTTAGTAGCAGCCTGGTTGGTTTTCATATTTGTTATCTCTTCTCATCCTGTTTGATTGCATTTATTAACTTTTATGTGTTGCATATGGATTCTTTGATTTATTTAGTTTCTCTTTAATGTCACAAGTATTGTCTTCATTTAAAGGTCAGACTACCACACAGTAATTATTCAGCTAATGTGCTATTTCTTTGTTTACATCTATCTGTCACACAGCTGTAGTATAACTGAACCAAGGCTGGCAACAGGATGATCTGTCAGTTGAATTTAACAACCTTTTGTAACTTTCCTTTTGACAGAAAAACTGCGAACACCACAAATCGTTCAGGAACCTGACCATATAATCAATCACGTTTGGTTGAGGTGCATTGTGAGGCAAGCAAAAGCAAGTAGCATCAGTTGGCGGAAAGATAACAAAGAATGGAACAGATGGAATAGCAGTGTATCCTTTGGAAACCACACGCTGTTCATTCAGGACATGGAAGTCACAGATTGCGGTGTGTATACCTGCATTGTGAAAAACGAGGTCAGCACTAGCAGCAACTCACACGTGCTAGCAGCAGACGGTAGGACTTCATGGTTTGAAACAATATGAAGTATGTGGAATGATATTCTAAATACTTATGTTCTAGATAAAATTTCACTGTCAGACACTGTCTGAGGGACTTTGGATTATATTCTAACTGGTGACTACTGAGATGAAGAGAAATGTCTTCACCCAGTGGGTGTGGAACTCTGCCACAGAAAGCAGTTGAGGCCAAAACATCGAATGTTTTCAGGAAGGAGATAGATATAGGTCTTAGAGCTAAAGGGATTACAGGTTATTAGGAGAAAGTGGGAACAGGGTTGGATGATCAGTCAGGACCATTTTGAATAGCTGAGCAGGCTTGAGTGCCAAATAGCATATTGCTGCTCCTATTTTCTATGTTTCCAGGTTGTTGTGTCACCCATAGAGACCATAATTTTAAATAAAAGTGAATTTCTTAGCAACCTATGGAAATAAACTGAAGAACTACATTTTATGTTGCAACATTCTTATGGGAACAAACAGACAAAAATCATCAAAAATCAAACATTCCTACTAAGGTTGCAACCTCTGAATTACTTCCAGTGCCATGCACTACTGAGTACAGGAATAGGACATTAGGGCAGATGAATGTGTGGCTAAAGGGATGGTGTAGGAGGGAGGGCTTTAGAGTTTTGCATCATTGTGATAGCTTCTGGAGTAGGTGAGACCGGTACAAACTGGATGGATTGCACCTGAAACGGAATGGGTCTAATTTCCTTGCTGGGAGGTTTGTTCATGCTGTTGGGTGATTTTAAACGTTGGGCAGGGAGTTGGGGCACAGAATAAATGTAACTTCAAGAGCAATATCCATCAGAGGTGGAAGGAAGGCTATGACAGGTGGAGAAGACGTAGGCAGGTGTGATGATACTGTGCCTTTAAGAGATGTGTCCTGTGCTGTTTCTGTTACAGAAGGGTGTTGTCACAGTTGTGCCAAAATGTCTGTCAGACAGGCAGTTTGTAAACAGCTTGTCAATTCTCTCTGGCTGTGTTTTTTTTTGTGAAATGAGATGGAAGAATCATGAGTGGGTGCGACCAAGGCTGGCACAGACCCCAGAAGGCTTTTAGTTTTGCTTTGAGTTAATGAGAAAATTTCTGCTGCTGCTGGAGCTTAGAGCTTGAGTTCTCTGCTGCTAGAGTGAAAATCAAAAGGGACGGATTGTTTCTTTTTTCAGGACTGGAGAGAGACGGCGCGTGAGAATCATAACTGTTTTGCTGAATTGCATTTTTGCCAAGAGGTGTGTTAATGGGATGCCAACATTGGAACAGTTGATGATTAGTGGTTAATAATACATTATCTTGTTAAGTGTTTCAATAGAGAAAAGTTATGGCAGTTCTTTTTGTTTTATTTTAACTGTGTTATAAGAATAAAGTGTGTTTTGATTTAAAGTTTAGTGGTAGACCAATCGAATCATATCTGGAACGTAGCACCTTACCATTGCCTTTAAAAAAGATAAAAGTTAGTGTTTAGGCTATCTCCATAATATACTTTGGGGGGTGGGGGTCTCATCTAGTCCATAACACAGGATAAGGCACATGGGAGGTCTAGAAAGCTACATTGTACCTATTTTAATGCAAGGAGCTTGACTGATAAGGCAGATGAACTTAGAAAACTGATCAGCATGTGGGAATATGATTTGTTGCAATCACTGAGACATGGCTGAAGGAAGGGCAGGACTGGCAGCTCAACATTTCAGGGTATAAATGGGGGCTATAAATAGCTGGGGGCATGCATTATTGATAAAGGAAACCATCACTGCTGCCCTTGCCCTTCATTCATAGAGGAACATGCTGGTCCTAAATTCTCAGTATACTACCTTTTAAAAGGCACCCACTTTCCAAATGTAGGCTTACCTGCAAGTACCTGCTTTCAGTTTGTGTTTGCCAGATCCTGGTTCATAATATTGAAATTGGCTTTCCCCCAACTTTGGCACTTCTGCACTATCATTATCCCAATGTAAGTTTCAAAACCAATAAAGAGGGTTATGGTCACTATCCCCAAAATGCTTGTCCACTGAAACTTCGACTACTTGACTGACTTCATTCCCTAGGAGTAGTTCTAGCACTGCTCCATCTCTCGTAGGGCTATCTACATAATGGTACAAAAAGATATCTTGGATGCACTTTAAAAAGTCCACTCCACACTAAGGTAATCCTAGTCAATGCTAGCAAAGTTGAGCAATAATTCTGTTTTGCTCACGCTTTTCTGTGATTTGCACAGATATCTGCTCCTCTATCTCCTTCTGACTGTTGGGAAGAGGACATCCTAGAAGGATCTTCAGCTGACGCCCCCTGGGTAGAACTTAAAAATAAAAAAGGGGTGATCACTTTGCTGGGATAATACTACTGGCCTCCCAACAGTCAGAAGTATTAACAAGTATTAGATAGTTTAGCGAGCATGCAGGTGCATATATCCCCAGGGCCTGATGAGATGTATTTCAGGCTGCAATGGGAAGCAAGGGAGGAGATTGCTGGGGCCCTGTCAGATATATTTAATACTTCACTGGCCACAGGCAAATTGCCAGAGGACTAGGGGATAGCTAACGTGGTTCCTTTGTTCAAGAAGGGCAGCAGGGATAGGCCAGGTAATTACAGTCTAGTTAGTCTGATGTCAGTTATTGGGAATTGTTGGCAAAAATTCTAAAGAGCAGGATAAATCCTTGGAAAGGCAGGGATTGATCAGGGATAGTCAGCATGGATTCGTTAGAAGGAGACCCTGTCTGATTAATTTAATTGAGTGATTTGAAAAAGTGACTAAATATATTGATGACGGTAGTGCAATTGGTGTGGTTTATATGGACTTCAGTAAGGCATTTGAACGAGGTCCCACACAGAAAGCTTGTCCAAAATGTACCAATGGGATCCAAGGCATGTTGACAAAGGTGATGGTGGAGGATTGTTTTTGTAATTGGAAGCCTGTGACTAGCAGCGTACTGCTGGAAGCCACTGTGACTACTAGGATGTGAATATAGAAGGTTTAATTGGTAAGTTTGCAGATGACTTGAAAATTATGGGTGCTGTTGATGGTGAGGAAAATGGTTTCAGGGTACTGTCTAATGTTGATAAGCTTGTAAATTGGGCAGAACGATGGTTGGTAGAATTTAATCCTGATAAGTGCAAGTGTTTTTGGGTTGTCTAATAAAGGAAGAATATACACAATGAAATGACAGGTCCCTAGGGAGTACTGAGTACTGGTGTACACTCCTCAGATCCCTGAAGGTGTCTGCACAGGTAAATGGGATGGTGAAAAAGACATTGGAAATGCTTGCCTTGATTAGTTAGGGAGTAACATATAGGAGCAAAGAAGACTTGTTGCAATTTTATAAAACATTGGTTAGGCCACACATGGAATGTTGAGTGCAGTTCTGGTGGCCACATTATCGGAAGGATGTGATTGCACTGGAGGTTTTGCAGGGGAGACTCACCAGGACCTGGGATGAAAAGTCTCAGTTATGAGGAGAAACGAGATAGGCTGGACTTGTTTTCCTCAGAGGGTATCTGATTGAAGTATGCAAAATTATGAGAGGTATAGATAGATTGTGAAATGAACGGACCTGTCATATATTAGAGTTGATCTTTTATTGCACCTTCTCTGTAGCTGTGATGCTGTATTCTGCATTCTGTTTTATTACCCTGATGTACTAATGTAAGGTATGATTTGACTGGTTAGCATGCAAAACAATACTTTTCACTGTATCTCAGTACAAGTGACAATAATAAATCAGATCAAATCAATGACAGGCATGTTTAAGAGGAGATCCAAGAAAAGCATTTTTTCACCCAGAGGGTGGTAGAAATATGGAACGTCATCCTGGGACGGTGGTGGAGGAAGCATCTGGATGATGAGTACTTAAAATGCCAGGGCCTAGTAGGTTAGGGACCAAGTGCAGGTAAATTGGATTAGTGTTTGTTGGTCAGCATAGACATGCTGGGCTTGGTTCTGTGCTTCATGACCGTATATCGTAATGGGCAACAAATACTTTTGAACCACTAAAAATTCTTCTGCATTAAATAATGCAATTGAGACACATCTTATAACTCCATTCACTGAGGACTGTAATTTTATCAAATTTATGGCATAACAAGAGCTAGATCTAGCCTTTCAGCAGGTTCACTTTTCCCTGCCACACTGGGTCTAATCTTGAAATGTCTTTTGAAAATTTGACTTGGTCTGAGGATTGTGGAACTGACTTCCAACAGCAAGGCTCATGTTAGTGACTCTTTGTTTCTTAAATCTCCATTAGTCCTCTCTCTTCTGTCTTTTTGTACAGAAAATGTCTTCTTATCAACATTTTGCTTGATCACTAACATAGAGGCTTTACCTATTCTTCACAGCCGTATGTGCATTCTGTCTCTCTTGTGCTGTCTCCATCTTGCCATTTCTCTCTTCATCTGTATCTATTTTGTGATTACGCATTTGCTTTGGGAAAAGTCTGCATTTTCTTCTTGTACAATGTTCCTTAAGCCTAGGGTGAACTGGGAAGTATTCTGAAAAAGGTTAGTTGATATTATTATGTTGGAGGGGCTGATGGGACAATGTGGTAATTCCTGCTGGGTCAGGCCCACCTTCCATGGACCGTTGTGATAACACGACTGAATAGGTTGATAAAAATATATCTTTTTATAACATTCCAACCTCTCATGCCCTAGTGTAACCATAGTGATGAACAGTGAGGAAACAATGAGTAAATAGAAAGCTAATTGTAGTAGCTTTGGGTTAGCCTGTGTTTTTTCTTTGGCAGTTCGTAACACAACTAAGAATTTGGATAAATAGGAAGTACGAGGCAGTCTGTCTGAATGGAACATTTTTCTGTTTGGCAGTCTTTGGCAGATCCGCTTCTTTTTTGTAATGTTGGGGAGGTCATTCAAGACAGTTGGACCTGGAATGCTACTCTGAGGAACTGTCGCAAAGATGTCCTGGCGGTGAGATGATCTCCAAAAACCATAACTGCCTCCCTTTGTACTAGGTACTGTGGGCATCGCTGGCAAGGCAGCATTTATTGCCCAACCCTAACTGCTCTTGAGAATGTGGTGATGAACTGCCTTCTTGAATCACAGCAGTCCTCGGGGCAGAGGTAGACCACAGTACTGTTAGGGAGGGAATTGCAGAATTTGTAAAGTGGCAGTGGAGGAATGTAGAGTGATTTCCACGTAAGGTCAGTGAGTTACTTGGAGAGGAACTTGCAGGGAGTGGCATTACCATCATTATTCAGCTCTGTCCTCGAGATGCAAGAGGGTTGAAAGTTTGGAAGGTGTTGTTGGAGCGCCTTGCTAAGTTACTGCAGTAGATGGTGCACATTGCTGCCGATTTGTGTCAGTGTTGAAGGGAGTTAAACTGTGGTGATGGATGGGGCTCCAATCAAGTCTTCCAACCTCCTGTTGTTTTAGATATGTTGCCGAAGATCTAGAAACATAATTAAATGTCGTACCATTGTTTAAAAAGATAGAAAAGCATACACTGAGTAAATGTAGACCAGCAACTGAGACTTGTTAGTGGAAAAATTATCGGAAAAATTTCTGAGGAACTAACATGATTCCATTTTTGAGGAGGTATCAAGGAGAGTTGGTGAGGGTAGTAATTTGTTAGGCTACTTAATTTTAGCAGAGCTTTTGGTAAGATCACAGGCAGATCAGGTCACAGAAGGAAAAGCCAAAGCATCTAAGGTAAAGAGGCAAGTTGGATCCAAAGTTCCTTCAGATAATGGAGCAATGGGTAATGATCAATGCGTATTTTATCACTGGAAAGCCTTTTGTCTATGAAATATAGCAAAGTATGGACTTGAGTACGGGAGGTTTGATTGAGAAGTTTGTAAATTGTACAAATGTTGTCTGAGTGTTCACTAATAAAGAAAGAAATTGTAGTCTTCAGGAAGATTTTGAGTGCATGTCAAGTGGAATAAATTTTTGTGTTATTTTCACATTTCAGAGACTCTCTTCATTCTAGTTGCTGTTTTATTCATCTCTGTTGTGGCTCTGGCTAGCAGTTTGACCTCCTTCGTTGGAGAAGCTATCATAATCATTGCCATGAAGAAACTCTCAGGTACTTACTGAAAGTATTAAAAGCATTCAATAATTTCTACATCAAACCACTAGTTGTTGATGTTCATTTTGCTCACTTTAGGTTTGCATTCATAGGTCCAAACCAGCAGAGGGAACTTACAGCCATTTTTGTGGCATTTCAACTTGTGTCCATCACCTGCCTGTTGATTGCAAGTGTTCTGGCTGTATTTGAGTCAGGTAAGTGATCTGTTTGGCTGATGTCTAAACACATACTTGCAACAATCAGATACCAGCCCGTGGCTCCTGCTATCAAATTAAACACTATCAATTTGCAGCATTGATGATACCTCATTCAAGCTTCACGGGTAGATCACGAGGGTATGTTTCAAACTGGGGGGGCAGGGGTGAAAGATACTGTGTCTTTCAGAGATGGACATAGCACAGGATCTTCACCTCGTATTGATAGCACAAGAGAAACATATGGAGCTTAGTCCATGTTGGTCATTGTCTATTACATCTAGGTTTATATGTTTTGAAAATGTTGTAATTCTCTTTCTTGTTAATCCTAAAATTCTTTTCCATCTCTGCTTTGATGCACACGTATATTGCCATCTGCTGCTGATTTTGTGCAATTCGGTAGATTCCTGGTTGATTTGCAACTGCAAATGGTTACAGCGCAACTCCACAATTCATTCCACTCCCTGTCCAGCAAATGATCTCTCTGCAGAGAATGATCCAGTTGAAATGTATGATTCAGCTTGTTTTTACAACACTTGTAGAAACTTGGAATATGTTGAACCACACGCTGTGTGAAAACCTTCTCCCTCATGTCATCTCTGATATGTTTGCCAATCACCTTCAATCACTGCCCTCTGGTCCTCGGCCCTTCCCAATTCCTCCCATTCATTTATCCTCACCCCCTTCTCTCAATCCAACTCCCCCTTCTCACTTACCATCCTCCTCCTCCTTCCTTCTGTTGTACTGTCCTCCCACTCACCTTTCTCGTCCAACTCATTCTCCTCCACTTCTCTCCCTCCCACATTCACCTCCCTTAGCCCCCACTTTTCCCTCCCTCCATATCCATTCTTCAGTCTACTCTTCTTTGATAATGTGATGAATGTTTAATTTGAAGATGTACATAATGTGAAGATGCGACTGAGTAAGAAGAACTCCTATGGTTCTCATCATGCAATTTTCCTGATGAGATTAGATGTTTATGAGGGTGCAGAACTGGAGTTGTCTGACCACACTCTTATTTCACCGAGACCTCTATACTATCCCTTTCACAGGCTTCTCCATGTGGTGCAGAAGTATTGCAGGGTTTGGGTGTTTAATGTGCATAACAGTGATCATCTACGTTTCCGTCCTCTTTCTTGGTCTGAATACAAATCGCTCTCCATCGTTCTTAACCATGAACAGTAAGTTGAAAGACTTGTACTTCTGACTGAGTTTTTTTAATTTTCTCGTGGGAGACGGATATTGCTGGCTGGGCCAGTGTTTACTGTCCATCCCTAG